AGAGAGAGAGAGAGAGAGAGAGAGAGAGAGAGAGAGAGAGAGAGAGAGAGAGAGAGAGAGAGAGAGAGAGAGAGAGAGAGAGAGAGAGAGAGAGAGAGAGAGAGAGAGAGAGAGAGAGAGAGAGAGAGAGAGAGAGAGGAGAGAGAGAGAGAGAGAGAGAGAGACAGAGAGAGAGAGAGAGAGAGAGAGAGAGAGAGAGAGAGAGACAGAGGGAGAGGAGAGAGAGAGAGAGGAGAAAGAGAGAGAGAGAGAGGAGAGAGAGAGATAGAGAGAGAAGAGAGAGAGAGGAGAGAGAAGGGGGGGAGAAGGAGGAGCAGGGAGAGAAGTGCAGACACAGGGCACAGGAGCTGGTGGAGGAGGATGGGGGACAGGAAGGGGGTCTGGGGGGGTCATGGCCCACGCCCCTCCCCGCCGGCTCGGCGGTCCTCCGTGGCCTCTGCCCGCCCTGCCTAATGGCATGATTGCCGGGCCGGGGGCGCAGGCGGCGGTGACAGATGAGCCGCTCCCGTCGCCGGCGCAGGTGATGGATGGGGAGGAGGGAGGAGGGAGGAGGGAACCAAGATAAACATTCCCTCCTGGAGCCCAGCCAGGCAGGGGAGGCCTGGCGGCAGGGTGAGGGGCAGAGGCTGAGAGACAGAGGCCCCCAGAGGGGGAGGGGGAGGGGGAGCGGGAGGGGGGAGAGATGGAGACAGACAGGCACAGACAGACAGAAGAAGGCACAGAGGCGGAGAGAGCGGGCTGCAGGGAGAGCTGAGACAGCGACAGAGGCCTGGGAGGGCGGGATCGGGATCCAGGCCCTGGGGAGCCCTGAGTGAGGGAGGAGGGACAAGGGGGCGGATGAGAAAGGGGGGAAACTGAGGCAAGAGTGAGCGGCACCGAGAGAGAAGAGGGGAGGGGGCCAGAGCAGGTCCCTGCTCACCCCCTCAGCTCATGTAGCCTCTGACAGCAGACCTGGGAGAGGGGGGTCCATGGGATCTCTGGGGGGTCCCTGGGCCACTGGGGCTGGGGGGCTGGGGTCAGCAAGAGGGCCCTCCCCAGGCCACTGAGAGGCCCACAGCCGAGCTGGGAGGCCCCCCAGATGGGTTCATGGGGGTCTCGATAGGGTGGGGCTGGGCCTTGCTCTCTAGGAAGTGGGGCGAGGGGGGGGGCTGGAGGTGAGCCCCCCCAGGCCGTGCTCCTGTGGGAGCCCCTGAAGGCATGCGGCACCCCCTCCCCCAGAGGTAGCCACGGGGCCCAGGCCTGGACCCATCACTCCCTCCCCGACGGACGCGAGGGCCTGAGGACCACTTAAGGGACAGCTCGGCGGAGGGGGCTGAGGTCAGGGAGGTGGGACCCCGAGAGACCACACGGATGGGGGAGGGGGACCCGTGTCCGCCGCCCGCCCCTCCCCGCCTCCCCCGTCCCCTGGCTTTCCTGCCCACTCTCCTCCCAGACCCCCCACTCCCCCCCCTTCCGACGCCTCCCCCTTTTTTAATCAAAAGGGTTTATGCCCAAGAGTGTCCCAGCCCCCCCCCCAGGGTCCTTCTGCCCTTCCTCCCAGGGGCCCCCCCACATCGGCCCCCAGGGCCTCGCCCTCAGTCCCCTCGCCCCCCCTCTCCTGGGCCTCAGCTCTTGTTTTCGGAACCAGCTTGGGCACGGGACCTCAGCGTGCCCCCCAACACGAAGCGGGGGGGGGGGGCAGGCCCCTGGCTCCCCATCCGGAGCCTCCGGGGGGCCGTGGAGGGGACACACAGGAGAGCTTTGCATCTTTAATTAAAAAGTGATTTACATTAATTTTCTGCTCCAAAACCCCTATCAGGGGGGCGGGAGGGGGGGGCGGCGATTACAGCACCCCTTCCCTCCGCCTTCCTTAAAGGGCCAGTTACGAGAGTTTCTGGGGAGCACCAGGCCCTCTCCCCCGAATCCTGGCCCCTCTAGCTTAGCTGGTTCCCCATCATTCCCCTCAGCCCAGGCCCACCCCGCAGACGGGGAGACTGAGGCTCAGGGGCGGGAAGCCCCCCAGTGCCCCCTCCCCCGCTGGGCAGCACTTCTGTCCTCACCCCCATCCCCAGCCTCACCCTGAGTGGTTTCATTTCTGGAGAGGAGAGGAGGGGAGAGGAAAGAAGGAGGGAGGGGAGAGGAGAGAAGAGGAGGGGAGAGGAGGGGAGAGGAGGGGAGGGGAGAGGAGGAGGAGAGGAGGGAGGGGAAGGGAAGGGAGGGGAGGGGACGCAGGAGCAGGTGCTGCCGGGCAGAGCTGTTTATGAGGCTGTAAACATCTCCTCCAGCCCAGCAGGCTGTGCTCTGCTCCCTGCTCCCCGCTCTCGCAGGGCCCGTCCCCCTCTCTCTGGGTCCCCATCTTCCTCTCTCTCTCAGGGCCCCGTGTCTCTCTCTCTCTCTCTCTCTCTCTCTCTCTCTCTCTCTCTCTCTCTCTCTTCCCTTCCCCACTCCTGTCCCCCTCTCTGGGACCTCTGTCTCACTGCTCTTTGGCATTTCTGCCTGGAGCGATGGTCTGTAACTTTGGGGCCGGGAATCCAGTTTCCCTTTGTGAACATCTGATGGCACTATGGCCATCTTCCTGGCGGGGGTGAGGAGTGTGTGTCTGGGGGGACATAAGCACCCAGCCCAAAGGTGGCCTGCTGCACACCTGCCCCCCCCCAAAACCCAGAGGCACCTGAGGATAAAGACCCTGAACACAGAGTGAATCCCAGCCTCTCTCCTCCCTCCCCCTCCCCAGTCCCTGCCCCAGGGCCTTTGCACCTGCGCTTCCCCTGCCTGGACCGACTTCCCCGGAGAGCTGCATGGC